CCCAACGTATTCCAAGCCGAACCGCATGAAGCTCTCCTAGCACCTGAGACACGAAACAAAGAACAAAGAGCGTTTCATGTGAAAATCAGTTTGTTTGATATCACGGGTTCATACACAAATAGCTTGCGACAAACCACCAGCGCGTCGACTCCCTGAGAGCAACGCCAGGGCACACTGAAAATGTGAAAAAATGACTAAAGAAATGAAATGCGTCAGGAACAAAACAAACGAGGGTATTGGACGTTCAGCAGAGCTTGCACGTCCAATGAGCGCTGGCAAATCGCCGGCAGTTAACCAGGGGAAAAAGGGCTAGAAGAATACGCTAAACACACCAAAAACCCTCAGCCCCACAGAGCTTAGTTCACATATCGAAACAAAGCAACGTACATGTCGCTGATGACGTCCAAGTTTTTTCACCGCCGCCGCCGTTCGCAGCAAACGCCTTCTCGAAAAAAGCCTCGCACACGGGGAAGGTACGGCAAAACCGTCGTGGTCGGGGTCGCTGTTGTTACGGAAGTGTAGCCTGTGGTGCCCATCCGTCTTGATATCCGCGAGGACGTACTGCTCGAGCACCTTCGAACCATGCCAATTCATACCGTGAGGGGGGGGACAGTGGTGCTTAGCGGGCAAGGGGCTGGATGATTTGATGCACCAGAGCAAGGGTGACGGTAGATGGCTGGAATTTGCGCCGGAAACAGCAAGCAGGAGGGCGAACAGGACATCAGCAGCAGCTATCCTCGCTGTAAAAACGTAGATGGGGATTGAAGAATTCAAGCGTCATTACCACAGGGAAGCGGCGTTAACAGTTCAAGGACAATCAATCTTCGTCCCCGGCGCTGTTGCTTGGCATCATGAGATGTTGGCTAACTGCACACGATCGGTTCACCTTGCGCCGCCCTCCTGTCTTGCACTATAGGCTAACGCTGCAACATGCGAGACCCTCAAACCAACAGCAGTTCCGGTGCGCGAGCGTCAAAACTTTCTACTCTTTCCACAAGCAATGCATCGCAAGGAGTAGTTGCCTGCACCCGTTCCTCCGTTCCTTCCCTATATTGTATGCATACGCTTTGGTTGAGTCTCATAAATGAACGAATGAATAGCTCTCGAATAAGGAAGGTGCTCCATCGTTTCTTCCGTTCAAATTCAAATAGGAGCGGACTTACTCAAAACGTGCGTAGAGCTATGCCGGAGTGATCGACGATGTTATACACGACTCTGACAGCAGGTGCGGTAGCAGACCTTCATCGGTTCTCGGTGGACAGAGGTGTCGGGGGTCGGGACATGGACTTTCCATCATTATTTGTTCTTCAAATCACTGGGCACCATTTCTGAACAAAAGCTCGCATTTACTGCGGAGAGTTTGCTTAACCCGACCGTACCTGAGCTATAGGGTGGTGCACTTGCATCGGTGGACCTGATTGCAGGTCACGCTCTGCATAGCCTCGTCCTCTGACACGGGAATGCCNTGGTGGTCGGGACATGAACATTCCATCATTATTTGTTCTTCAAATCACTGGGCACCATTTCTGAACAAAAGCTCGCATTTACTGCGGAGAGTTCGCTTAACCCGACCGTACCTGAGCTATAGGGTGGTGCACTTGCATCGGTGGACCTGATTGCAGGTCACGCTCTGCATAGCCTCGTCCTCTGACACGGGAATGCCGTCGTTGGCTGGCACTCGGATATTCGAGAACATGACGGTACCGAGCCCACTCATGGCGGTATCCGCCTACATAGTACGATGCAAGGGGGGGGGTGAGACGCAACGTATGAAGACGCACATGCATATTCCTCTGCTCTGCTATGCATACTACTGGTGCCCTTGTCGTTTCGCATCAGTGGCGCGGCATGGGGGGACCCGCTGCGACCGCCTTTTCTCAGTTGTTGTTGTTGTTGTTGTTGTTGTTGTTGTTGTTGTTGTTGTTGTTGTTGTTGTCTTGACATCGAAAGAAAAGAGCTTTCTGATCTCTGGCACGCCATATTACTCAGGGGTTTACTCGGTACCATTTTGTATTTTACGGCCAAAAATGTTTCAAAGGGGTTCTTCGAAATCCGGAGGAAAAAGAAAAAATATGGCGTTGTGGGAAGAAAAAATATGGCGCAGAGGCGAATCGAATCCACTGATCTCATAGCACAGCAGTTGGCTGCATAAGATACCACACCCCCTGGACCAATTTCCAAAGCCTGACTACAGTTGAGGCCCGCACTTAAGAACCTCCTATTCTGAGCGAGGCTCAGTTCTTTTTGGCTGCCCCAACCCGAGCACGTGTTCTTATTGGCCTTTTCTTATTTCGCCGTCCCATTTTTCTCCTCCAGCGAAATGTTCTTGTTCTTATTTCAACACCAATTGGCCCTGTTGGNCAGAGGCGAATCGAATCCACTGATCTCATAGCACAGCAGTTGGCTGCATAAGATACCACACCCCCTGGACCAATTTCCAAAGCCTGACTACAGTTGAGGCCCGCACTTAAGAACCTCCTATTCTGAGCGAGGCTCAGTTCTTTTTGGCTGCCCCAACCCGAGCACGTGTTCTTATTGGCCTTTTCTTATTTCGCCGTCCCATTTTTCTCCTCCAGCGAAATGTTCTTGTTCTTATTTCAACACCAATTGGCCCTGTTGGCGTACGTTGCTGTCGTGAACCTTGAGACGATCCTCCAAGTACTGAAGAGGCGTGCGCTCCTCCTCCTTCCAGAGGTCCGCGGCGTTGTCCTCGAGGATGCGCAGCTGGTTGACAGCATTGGCTTTGAACCTATAGCCGTATCGCCTGCGCTTGGGAGCTCCACGAGTTTCCTTGGTTTCGCGTTCCATAAAACCGTCGCTTTCCAAGTCTAGATCGAGAAAGCGCTTCCGCTGGAGGACAAACGAAGCCGCCCCCGTCGCATCATCGACCTTCACGTGCCAACAACGCCCAGGCCCGGCTNGGTTGTCCGCTGCCAATCGAGAACGCGTTGCAGATGCTGCCGCCTAAAGTGCCTTTCGCAGCTCTCTCCCTGGCGTGCTTCCCTCGATCCACCTTCCTCCTCGCGGTACCCGCTGCAGCAGCAGGTGGGTGCTGAGAAGGTGCAGCAGCACCTCGTGCGCTGCTGGCATCTTGTTGGGATGACAAGGACAGGCGGGTGCTGCTGGTAATGCCCTGAATTTCACCATCAATCTGCGCGATCCACTCTCCTTCGTCGAAGATACCGTTCTGCTTCAACCCCCACGCGCTCTCGATGGCGTCCCACCGCTCCTTCGCAACGGAGTTTCCCGCCTTCACATGTGTTTTTTTCGTCTCGAAGTGACGGTCAAGAATCAGACCCCGTCCTTTCAACTCTGCAAGTTTGCCAAGATACTTGGATCACCCCCCCGCCCGTCCCCCCCTCCCCGTTCGAATATTCTTATCTCGCAGCTGCTGAATGTGCTCTTGTCCTTATCATTAGCAGCAGTGGTACACCTCGGCGTGCGTTCTTATTCTTAACTGCAGGTGCAATCTGAGCACGTGTTCTTACCGGCAAATTCTTAATATTTGGGGTTTTTCAGCACCATATTATTAAGTGCCATGTTCTTAAGTGCGGGCCTCAACGGTTGTATTCCACACAACAAGGAGTGGTGAGGCCGGAAATGGCGGCATTGGAACTGTCTCGTCTTCAGCTTTTCGAACAACGCATCCTTTGAAATTCGGAATCGTCTTCGTCGTGGAACAATGTCACCGGTCGCCCCGGTGGTCTGGTGGGTAACCTCGCAGCTTGCTGAGGGTGGTTCCTATTACGTAATATTTTTGGACTCGAACATCGAACATCGAACAAGCGGCGTAATCATGTGATTGGCCAGGAAGGTCCAACAGCCCAAAGAGATGTTAGGGTTTTTTTATATTTCTTTATATGACACAACGAGTCCATCTCTATCACAGAAAAGAGTCAGAGACAGATTAACAATGGAATCATAGCGTCAGAGAAAACTACCTGTGTGTCTACGATTTCCCAGACAGCATATAGGGACATCTCCCCTGTGGGAAACAGGCTCAACAAATCAGTTTGGTAGCTGTCTTGTGTGTCTCATATATGTTATGTTGGGAAGGTGCAGACGAAAGGTGTTGGGTACTGTTTGTTAGTCAGGCGTTTTGTGTGTCGCACCCTGTTAGTTGTAGGACATGCAATCTCCATCAGTGTACAAACATATTCTCAGTTTGGTATGCATATGTGCGGAGTATGTGCGGCTGATGTGCGTGCTATCTCTATCATAGGAAAGAGTCAGAGACAGATTAACAATGGAATCATAGGGTCAGAGAAGACTACCTGTATGTCTACGATTTCCTAGACAGCATATAGGGACAACTCTCGGGTGACAGGCTCAAAAGATCAGTTTGGTAGTTGTCTTGTGTGTCTCATATACGAAGTATATGTTATTATGTTGTGGAATTTCATGTCGTTAAATGCGAGAAGGGCACGGGAGAACATTTCTCATCATGGCCTCCTGATGACGTGGTCGCCGATAGAGGCGTGTGGTTGATGAGGTTTCATAACCGACATGTGGGTGTGTGTTAAATGCAGTGGGTGTGTTCACCTCTCTCGTCCGTGTGTAGGCAGGAGGTATGGCTACCTCTCCCATTTGTAGGCAGCGTGGACCATACTTGTAAGTCTAGACAGAGTTCATCATTTCATGCATGTTACATCATTTGTGTTTGACAAGGGAGGAATGAGAGGTTGTGCGTATGGGTACGGGGGTACGCCCTGTGTCCGTGTTGTTCCCAGATGTTGCCGCATCAAGTGGCAGCATGTGTCATGGACAGGTAGACGTGGAAGGACGGCGACAGGTGAACGGCAGCAGTAGTATGTTGTGCATGGTGGCATGTTGGGCTTGTGCAGAGGCGCAGTCCATCTTCGACCACACACAAAAAAGTTTGCTCGTACCTGTGGGGATTTTTCGAAGTCCTGGGTCAGCCAAGAGCAGCAGCAAGGAGCAAACGCAGTGCAGTATACTCTACAGCTTTACAGTCCGTCCTCCTCAAGTCCTATCGGAGATGATTAGTATCGCACAACGGCTGGATCCGAAATGCCGGCTAGCTCCGCAATCCAAGAGAGGTGGGTGGCTGAGCTAAAACCGGAATGACTGCATGCGTGCTCCTCTCAGCGACGTCGCTGGCTGGCTCTTTGAAGTGCGGATTTCTGGTTCAGCGGAATTTGATTCCCAATTTTTCGTTGTCACCTGGGTGTATGGGAATTTTTTAGAAAGGTGTACAGAAATTGATTATGCTAATTGCAAGGGACACGTTTCTTTTTCAGTGTTCCCCCTTGCGGTTTCGACGGTTAAATATGCGGTTACCCACAGATTTTCGCATCGCTATAATAAGCTATCAGGTTCCTACAAAAGTATGCGTGTACAATTTTGGTAGCGCTAGAAACAATTTGAACATGATTTTTATGTCATTATTTATAAACAGGCGTTCATATTTTGCACATAGCCATGTAACGATATTTGAACACAACACAACAACACTACTCCAGGAATTGCTCAACAAAGAAACGGGACACTACCCAATAAAGTAAAAGATAATCGCACGCAGGCTAATCTACCAAAAAGTCATTCGTATCTACTCGATTCCAAATACCCAACTCCACTTTCTTCCAGATTGAATTCCGCACCATAGGTGCATTTACACCCACGATGTTTGCAGTCACTGGCGAGGTACGAAAAAAGTTATACATGAAATTGTTTAAAGTATTACGTATAAGTCGACTAGNGTCATTCGTATCTACTCGATTCCAAATACCCAACTCCACTTTCTTCCAGATTGAATTCCGCACCATAGGTGCATTTACACCCACGATGTTTGCAGTCACTGGCGAGGTACGAAAAAAGTTATACATGAAATTGTTTAAAGTATTACGTATAAGTCGACTAGAATAGAAACGTGCAAGCATGTCAGCCATCAATCTAGCTGTGGCAGCTTAGAAAAATCGAATGTCAGTACATCTAATAGCAAATCGGCACATTTGACAGTGTAACGTCGACATCTTACACCTAGTAGATAACACTGTTTCCCAATGTGGGAATGCCCGATATTGCTTCAGCGTAGCCGTATGTTGGCGTTTATTATACATACCGATACAAGTCTTACCAGGAATGTCTTGCCCTATTTGCATATCCAGAAAGTGTGCTGAATCCCCACACTGTTCTTGGGTAACGCGAACGGGGTTGTCTATCTCATCACCATTCGAATCTACCACCATCGTTGGGTACATACCACCATATTGATTACCCTCCTTATATATAANCTGCTCAATAAATTCAAATGGATACAACGATGTAGTCCCAGCGTGTGTATTAATAGCAGTTAAATACTCATCCACCATTTCCTTCAAAAAATCGAATTCATACATAAACGCAAAATTATTCGCTAGTTCCGGACCTGGTGCCGTTCCCATAAAGATACCAGAAGCTTGTTGGTACATGCCGTTCCCAAATTGTACAAATCCTTCATCCAGAATAAAATCTATCCATTTACAGACCCGTTCCCATCCAATGTAATTCGCTCGACCTCTGCTAGATGTTACGTTGCTCGGATTTTCCTTCGACCACTTGATGCCTCCAACAAATGGTGTCTTATTATCAGGCCCAATACCCCATCTCAACTTCATCGACTTAAACCCATGTCTCTCAGCTTGGTGTTCAAACGACAATTTCAAAGCTTCCTTCAATTTTTCCTTCAATGGTACTACAGGGATATTAGGGTACATACCAAAGAAGTCAAATGTTTGGAAGACATGCGCATCAGTACATCCCTCCATTTGTGCTCGAATATCGATATCCTGTGCTACTTCTAGAAGACTTTCCCCGCTAGAGGTAATCCAACATTCCTTGGCAGCAATACCAACTTTTGCGCATTCTTCACGCCAGATCGTGTGTAAACAAGGCCGGATACCAACCAGGACTGCGTTGACTACCTTAACCACCCCTTCTGATATCGTAGCACAACATGCCGTAATTCCACGTGTCGCTACCAACGGCTAATGTAGTTTAGCAGTGAGGTATCGTGTGGGTAACTTACCAGTGTTTTCATACTGAGTGTCACCATCCTCGTCTTTGTACTGCTGCTGTGGGATGGGCAACTTTTCATCTAGCAAAAACTTGTGTTGTCGGTCAATGGTCGTCTGTTTCACCAGCTCCAACTCTCCGTGTACTGTCCTAACCCCGGTCCTTCAAGTTCTGCTTTGGCTAGCCTAATATAGCACGCCTTGCAAGTGATACAGATGCAGTTGGCCGCTTTGTCGACTCTCGTAAACACCACCTTCTTGTGCAATTGTTGAAAAGATGTCCTAGCTGCAGCAAAATCTATGTGGCCCGTAAGAGGCTTAGCAACCTCCCCCTTATCCGCGTCAGTCACTTTTTGTGCTATCGTGTCGTACAAAATATCCTCTCAGTCCTCAATGTCTTCGCGTGGCACTTTGAGTTCATGACATAAATCGCCAATGTACGATTCTATGGCGTCTATCTATGAGCGATTCAAAGAACGAGAGGTTANCTGCAGCAAAATCTATGTGGCCCGTAAGAGGCTTAGCAACCTCCCCCTTATCCGCGTCAGTCACTTTTTGTGCTATCGTGTCGTACAAAATATCCTCTCAGTCCTCAATGTCTTCGCGTGGCACTTTGAGTTCATGACATAAATCGCCAATGTACGATTCTATGGCGTCTATCTATGAGCGATTCAAAGAACGAGAGGTTATTCAAGGCTTCAGCATATTCTGCTCTAAAACCAGCTTGTAGGTTTAGCACAGCTGCAACGTTGTCATCCTGAAGACATCCGGCATCTGTGGTAATCAAACATTTGGAACCATCCTTGGCAACAACCGTGTACTGAATCCATTGGGGGTCTTTGCAAATAAATGCATCTATATTTACCATGATTTACATCTCTCGCTACGTTGGTGGTATTGAACATCATACTATCTAGGGTGTCACCATACCTAAAGCGAAAGATTGTCTGACGAAGTAAAGGAAATCTGCGTTTTGTGAGCGGCAGAAATAAACCTTGGCCAATCAGAAAGCAGGAAGCGGACGAGCGTGTTGGTGTTCTGTTTTCAGTCTACTCGCTTCGCCGTGTTTACCGGGGTCGAGCGAGAGCACGTGTGCGTGTGGTGGCCAAGGGTTGTTTTCTGCTGTGACGTTTCTTTTTGGCACGTGACGTTTCGTGGCGTGACGTACGTATTGGACGGGAGAAGTTTCGCGTCTACGTTTCCCCTGTTTTCGGGGCNAACAGCAGCCGCCGCAGCAGCAGCCGCAACAGCAGCGGCAGCAGCAGCATCTTCAACGTCAGCAGCAAGAAGCGGCAGCTTGGGCCGCAGCCGCGGCGGGGTCGGCGGTCGACGGGGACGAGGCACGGCTGGCCGACGGCATGGCTGGTTTATCCGTGGAGGGCCTCGGTGGGTCGTCT